ACTCCAGCTTGTAAATCTATATAACTACTAGTATCCTCATGTTTAATAGTCCTGATTCCAAGACTGTCAATATGCAGGCCAAGTGTTCTAAGAACCATATCTGTAGTTCTGAACAAGACAGGTTCATTTACACAGTTATTTGACAAGATATGATAAGGGACATTTGTTTTATCCAAAAAAAGCAGTCTAAATAAATTATAGAATGGAACATAGAAATTAAGAAACTGAAAAGGGAAATGGAGAAGATTTTTTGACTTAAACACAGTTGCAATAGTTTCTGAGTAGCAGAATCAGTTTGTTCTGAAAGCTTGTGGTTGCTGTTTGCAGTAGGAATGTAGCAGTATCTGGTGTATAGCTTGATATTTAAACACAGGAAAATTGTTTTTCTTTTTTTACAGGGTAGATTTCTTTATTCCTGGAGTTCCTAAAGTTGGGGGTTTCTCCATTTGCTCCAGTCCAGGACTTCTGGAAAAAGAAGGGGTACTGGAGCTGGCAGTGAAATATAACTTGCATCCGCCTGCTCACTGGATTCATACACAGGTAAAACAGTAGAGATACATCCCAGCATGGGTGGTGCCAGAGTAAAAAATAACAGCGTATGAGATGTGATTATTAACTTTTTTCAAAGTATTTTGATGATGGTACGCAGATCATTCGTCGCTTATATTAAATAAGGAATACAGGAAGTAAAATAGGGTTTTAGTTCCCCCCTTATTTTCAGCCTAATGTAGAGATTGCATGCAGGCAGTGGTAGGGGCGCTGGGTGACGGAGATGCAATTTCAGAGGGCAGAGTGCCGAAGGGACTGGGTTCTTCATAGGCCTGTCAACTTTTAATCCGGCATAGAGGTGTCTCTGGGGCTCCATTCACACATGAGCGGGTTTCATTTGGCCGAATACACGCGGAACCATACTAAATATAAAAAAAACAATGCATTGCAATGTGCATTGTTCAGACTATTGCGGCGGGCGCGCGGTACAAAACCGCACGTTCCGCAAAATAGTCCATGCCTGATTTTATGGGCGGATTCCGCACGTTCCGGCTCCAGTAATAGCTGCAAACATGCTGAATCTGTGCATTTGTTAACCTTTGCGTGGTTTTCGTTCCTCGTGGAAAACGCTACCGCTATGTGTGAATGGAGCCTGAATGAACTCCACCTAATTCGGTGTTGGCTCCTGGACAGAATCGCCCTCTGATCTAAGGTAAATACAGGGGAATTTAGTTAGCATGGGGAAGGAGGTCATTAAGATTAAGGTTATTTGAAATTAGAGTTAGCCTTTAGGCCTTATTCAGACATGGGCATTACTTTAATGTGGTGTGGTGTGTTGTGATGCCATTCAATTGTGGACCCGCACTGCATTTTACCATAATGAACATGCCTTGTGTTGTGCACTGCATTAAAAAGAAAAAAGTGCAGGTGTGTTTTTTTTTTCTCCATTGCCATTGGCAGGGAGTTTGTTTGCTGATTCCCCTCTGCTGAATGAACCTGGAAGCTGTCATTTCCCAGCTGCTGTGGCTGCGAGATAAGCTGATCAAGCCTGATCTGTGCTTGATCAACTTCACAACTTAATTGGGCTTAGGGCTGGTTCACACCATCTCCAGTGCGTTCCGACACGGTTAGTGGCCGGGATGAATTGGATTGCATAGTGGAAGCCGCCCTGCGTCCTGGGGCGGAAGGGGGCACAGTAGTGCCATTCAAGTCAATGGCACAACAGACAGGCCCCGCCCGCAGTGCTATCTCCTGCACCAGAACGCATGGCACAGCGCATGTACCGTTTTTTTGTGATCGCACTGGACCGGAACGCAGGCATTGCTGTGCCCCGCGTTCTGGTGCGGGCGATCGCACTGGGGACAGGGGTGTGTGTCTGCGGTGCCATTGACTTGAATGGCACCATCACGCCTCCCCTCCCGCACCAGAACGCAGGGAGGCTTCCACTATGTGATCCAGTGTGTTCCGGCTACTAACCGTGACGGAACGCACTGGAGATGTGTGAAGCGGCCTTTAAAGAGGAGCTATCCCCAGCAATATGCTATCACATAAAGGCTATATGCACCCTATGTGATAGGAACAAAGTTAAGTTTAAAAAAAAGTTTAAAAAAATTAAAGTTAATAAAATACATTTTGGGTTGATAAACTGTTGTGCTAATATTGTGTGACATAAAAAAATTGCATCTGCCACCATTTTGTTTTACAGAGTCTCTGTATATAAAAATGAAAATCTATAAATTTGGAGGGCACTAATCAATTTTTAGTCCTAAATGTACTGTGGCAGTGCGTGGCAATGCCACTATGTAGAGTGGCAAAAGGGTCACCCAGGACTCTCAGCCAGAGGGGCTGAACAGTTCCAGGATGGAAATAATTTTACCAGGAAAGAGCTGGCTTTGCAATTCTTTCCGGGTTTTCTAAATTATAACTGGGATGCTGGAACTTGGAGATTTCTAAGAGAACTGGGAGGGAAGAAATCTCCATACCTGGGCCCGGGCTTTAGTGGTGACCAGCACCAAATGATGGGCCACCTGTGCACAGCCCTTATGATGAGGATGCTGGGTCAGGTTCAGTGCTCCACCTGGGTGACAGAGGAGGTCTCTGCAGGAGTCAGGAGGGCTCCACCCTGGGACCAGTCTGTGGCTGGTGGACTGAGGAGTGTGTCACCTGTGTGGTGAAAAGAGTTTGGTAATTGGACAACCTAAAGTCGGTGGACTTTGAAAGTGCTATTTTGGATGAAGAAAGAAAACTGTACTTTGTGTTTGAAAACCCCTGCGAGGGTGATCACATTATTTTGTGAACCTTCATTTAATAAAAGTGGGCAAGAAAGAAGTCATAAGCGAGTGGATGCGTCCTTAATGCGCTACCATTGGAAGCTACATCTCACAATACAACACTATGGGGGGGAATTTATCAAAACTGAAGCAGACAAAATCTGGAGCAGCTCTGCAAACTGAAGAGAGAAGCTGATTGGTTACTATACACAACTGCTCCAGATTTTGTCTGTTCCCGTTTTGATAAATTCCCCCTATGTACATTTTAACATGTGTGCAAAAAAATGCAAAAGCGGCTCTGGCAGCAAAAGGGTTAAGTAGCCGGGAATGGGCTGTTTCTTGAGTAGCTGAAAACCAAAGCTCTCCCTTTAACTGTGTAAAAGTACTGTTTCCTATTAACACTAGCTTTAACCCCTTCATGACTGAGCTTGTTTTTAGTTTCTGTTCGTAAATGACTGACACACTTTTGACATTTTTGCTGTGTGATTCTTCCACGTCAGTAATATACTTTCTTACAAAGTGCACCCACACATATTATATATTGTTTTTTAGAGGACAGATAGGGCTACATATTTATATCACATATGTGTGTCTAACGCCTCACTTAGGACAAATAAAATATAAAAAAAGAGAAAAAAAACGTTAAAAAAAACACTTTTTTCCCAGTTTTGATTTGTAGTATTTTTTTACAACACCAGCACAGCTAAAAAAATGCAATAAATACATTCATTTATTTGTCCCTTATTTTATTTT